GTTCCATCTTGGGAGAGATGGTTCATTGTTTCTGCTGGTGGTGGAGCTGGGGGAAGAGATGGATGGCTAGAAAATTTTTCTCCCAGAGGGTTGTCCGTGTATGGTATGGATTGTTGGGGAGTTGGCAGCTGTCAGAGGGATCGATTGGGGTCATTTCAAAGGGAATTATGTGGGCACAAAATGAGGAAAGTGGGTTAGATTGTTGGAATTCTCTCCCCCAGTCCCTCTGCCTTGCCCCCTCCTTCCCCTCTTTTAGATCACGACTGAAGACCTTCCTTTTGACCGCTTCACTGTATTGGATGGGTACCTGAGCTGGGGGTGGGAGACGAGGGGGTGGGGGGAAAGGGAAAGGTGACTGATAGCATGGCCAAACAGGTGGGTCTCAAGACAGATCTTGGAATTTGGGGTGGGAAGGAGCGAGTTGGAGGGGCTCTGTGATGGAGTTCCAGAGAGTGGGGGCAGAATATCGGAGTGATTTCTGTTAGGCTGGCTACTATGGTCCAATGAAAACCTCTCAAATAGCAAATGAAAGCAAACAGCCCGGTGTTCTGTTTGCCTGGACAATTACATGGGAAAGTGGCCTAGAGCTCGGAGAAGGGAAGGGGATAACAGACACCTTACAACAAAAACAACGTCAATAAATTGTATTTATACAGCGCCTTTCCTGTTGGGAGGACGGCCCAAGCCGCTGGACAGTCAAGGGGGTTCACCCGAGCTGGGGGCTGGAGTCAAGAGGGATGGAGGGCAAAGGGGAGGGGTGGGGGTGGTGCTAAGATGACCAAAAGCGCAGTCGAAGATGAAGGTCTACAATGACTGACTTTACAGAGGAAAGAGAGTGTAAGTGGACTGCCTGGGGACGGGGTTGGAGGCAGAGCGCTTAAAAGCCATGGAAGGCTTCGTATCCGAGGATGAGGATTTTGAAATCTATCCTCTGGGGGATGGGGAGCCAGTGGAGCCGGGCGAGGATGGGCGTGATAGGGTCATGTATCAAATGCAAGGATTAGGATTATCATTGTGCAGTGCGCAGTCCAGATGTGCTTGTGAGAGGCAGCAAGCATCACAGAGAAATCTAGGTCAGTGTCATCCTGTATAAATGTTCTATACTCAACCCTGGATCTGTGCTGATGACATGTGCAGTAACTTACAGGGAAGCTGTGCTGTGAAAGGTTGGTGCAGCCTATCAGAGGCACAATGGAGTGGAATAATAGGAGATCGAAAAGTCTCAAATTTCGCATGACCTTAGCCTTAACACCAAGATCTTAAAATGTTAGATTGAGCTTAATGGTGGGAAAATTCTGAAATTGATTTGCCTGGGTTCTGATTCCTGGCAGGGCAAAATGTTGGGCAAATTTCCTTACTCCACACGCCTCTGTTTACCTCGCAGTAAGTAGGAGCCCGGTTGTTAGTCTATTAGCGGATTGCTTTTCCTGGGTTAATAATCCTTAAAAAAATGTGTTCACTCGTTCCACGACTGTTTGTGGGACACTGCTGTGCGCAATTGGCTGCCACGTTTCGCCCGCAAACATACAGTCAATACACCTTACAGTCTAGAAGCCGTGAAAAGTGCTATATCAAATGCAAGGATTTTGTTATTATGAACTCCGTACCCCATCACCCCAGTTCTAGCCAGGCTCCCCTAGCTCCCTATCGCCTAATGGATCGATTTCAAGACCATCACACTCGTTTTCAAACCTCTTCATGCCCTGGTACCTCTCTGTGTCTCCGACCTGCTTAGTCCCCATCCCACAACCCAATGTCTCTGCTCGACTGGATACATCCTTTTGTATGTCCTTCGTGCCCTCCCTGCCACCATTGGTGGCCACCCTTTCAGCCACTACGCCCTGAAACTCTGGAACACTCTCCCTCTACCTCTCCGCCTTGCCCCCTCCTTCCCCATCTTCAGGTCGTGGCTGATGACCTTCCTCTTCGACCGTCACCTCCTCCTCCCACAGCAAATGGCTCGGTGTTGTGCCCATCACTGTCAAGCTCTCTGAGACGCTAACCTGTGTGAGGCCCGATGTATAAACGCAAGTTGTTGTTGCTGTTATTCCGCATTGCTTAAAAAGACGGCTGCTGGCTTTGAAATTAAAGGATTCTCCAAAATCCAGCATGGTCTTAAATGGTTTCATTGCTAAGATCTGGTGGAATTTGTGGCGTCTGGGGCTGCGGACGGCTGGTAGGTCAGGAGAGATTGGTGGCCCACACTTGCCATTGTTCACACGCGCTCAGCCGCCTGTTCGTCTGTGCTCCTGCACTCAGTTCGCCTGTACCCAGCTCTCAGTTTGCCTGTGCTCAGCGTTCAAACAACTCGTGTTCAGCAATCTGTGTTTGCTGGCACTGCACTCAGTTCGCCTGTACGCAGTTCGCCTGTACTCGGTACCCAGTTCGCCTGTGCCTTGGTTTCTGTGAAGCGAGTGGTGACGTGTCAGGTGATGTGATAAGGCGCCACATTAGATGTGAGGATTATTATGTTATTATTATTATTAAGCATTCAAAAAGGGAAATGCACATGGAAAGGGTTTGGACATTTACATAAAATTTTTTGCAGCACTCTGGGTGAGAGCAAGGGAGTGGGATTAGTTGTTATTATTGTTGTAATATTATTGTTGTAATCTCTCCGCCCTCCCGCCTCCTATCTCTGCTTGACCCCCCTCCCCCCCCCACCACTGCCTCCCTCTGCTCCAGCCTGGGAATCCTCCGCCGGGCTCATCGTGGCACTCGGCGCTGGCTGTCCAGCAGCAGCCACACCAACTGCCCCATTCCCCACTACCGCTGCAAGCCAGACCCAGATCCCGGGGGCTAACCTCTCCTCCCTCATCCGCAGCCCCTCCCTCCCTGCCAACCACTCCACCACCCCCTCTCATCCCACACATCCCCCTGGCAACTGTCCACTCCGCATTGGTCTTCAAAATGCCCGCTCCATCTCCAACAAGACCCAGGTGGTCAATGAACTCATCCTCGATGAGAACATTGACATCATGGCCCTCACTGAAACCAGGATCACCCCAGGTGACACCTTCCCTCTCATTGAGGCCACACCACCCATCTACCCCTACCACCGTGCCTCAAACCGTCATGGCGGTGGTGTTGCCCTCATATCCAGGGCGTCACTTGCCCTATCCCCCTACTCCACCGGCTCATTCCCCTCTTTCGAACATCTTACCCTCTGCCATCCCTTCCACCTCTCTCTAAAAATCCTCTTACTTTTCCGCTTTCAAAATCCTCCCCTACCTTCATCTCTGACACTTCCACCCTCCTTGATTCCCTCTGCCTCTGCTCCAACTTCCTCATCATCCTAGGCGACTTCAACCTCCACTTCACCCCCTCCTGCTCAACCTCCTCAGACTTCTTCTCTCTTCTCTCCTCTCTCAACTTCTCCCTCCACATCCATTCTGCTACCCACACCCACGGTCACCCGCTCGACCTGGTGATCACCCAGGGCCTCAGCGTCTCGGATGTCACCATCACTGACAAGGCCATCTCTTGACCACCATTTCATCTCCCTCAACTCCCATATCCCTCTCCCCACTGCCTCCAAACCTATCACCATCTTCTATGGCCCGTGGAAGAAGATCTCCCCGCAAACCCTCTCCACTGCTCTGGAGTCCTCTGAACTCCTTGCCCTCTGGCTCACCTCTCGCACCAACCTACTCGCTGCGCTTATTCTTCTCCACAGCTACCTCTCCACCACACTCGACGCCCTTGCCCCCTCACCTTCCGAACTGCCTCCTATTCCCGATCCTCACCCTGGTTCACCAGTCACCTCTGCTCGCTTCCTCCCTTGCCTCCTTCAAGGCCGGTCTCAAGATCCTCTTCTTCGATCGCGCCTTTGGTCGCCCTCCCACCTCTCTGCCTTTCCACACCCCTCCCCTATGCTCGGGTCCTGATCCCTGAGTGTCCAGCGCCTTCGGACATCCTCCCGATGTGAAAGCAGCAAAGTCAAATGTTAGGAGTTGTTAACACAATCCCCTTAATCCTGGAAGTCAAAGACCTGAGGGGTAGAGTAGTCCTAGCTGGACAAGCAGTGGGAAAACTTGCCAGACAGTGTTCCCAATCGCATGCTAAGTGGTTTTGGCTGGTTAGACTCCAGCAGTTACCCCAACGCACACTCTGGGGTCCTCAAGCCTTGGCTCTGTATTTGTTGGTATTAGGGACAGCTGTTTCAAATCGCTGCATGTTAAATTCCTCTCTCCCACCCACCCATTCAGTGTTAGTCTGGCTCACTTATGACTTAGTTGGTTGTACTCTCACCTCTAGCTCCTTTCTTTCTCCCAGTGTCCTGGCTAATGATCCCCCAGATAAAATTAGACATTCACTTCATGGCTGTTTGCATGACATTGATGTGTGCTAATTGGTTGCTGCGTTTGCCTACAAAATGCACAGTCACTACACTGTACCATATATTGCATACCAAGCAATAGAGCGTATGATAAATAATGTTCGTCAATTGTTTCATTGCTGTCCGTCGGGCAGTGATGTGCACAAATTGGCTACCGCTTTCGCTACAAAACACAGTTATGTTTGTGAAGCGCTTTGGGACGTCTTCCTGACGTGAAAGGCGCTATACCGAATGCAAGGATTATTACTAATATTGACGACTTTGGGTTGATGCCTGTGAAGTCCTGAGGTTAGAGCCCTCGCCTCACAAGTGAGAGGACCTGGGTTTGATTCCCAGGCGGGGACAAACTTTAGGCAAATTTCCTTACTCCGCATGCCTCGGTTTACCCAGCAGTAAGTAGGAACGTGGTTGTTAGTCGATTGGCGGATCGCTTTCCAGGGATAATAATCCCTTAAAAAAAAGAAGAATCGGATCACTTAATCCATGACTGTTTGTGGGACACTGCTGTGCCCAATTGGCTGCCGCATTTCACTCACAAAGTACAGTTAATCCACTTGACAGTGTATTCTATGATGTGCTTTAGCCGCCTGAATGACATGATAAGTCACTATATCAAATGCGATGATGATTATTATTAACTAGGTCTCTTGTCTTTGGCCAGGTTATGTGGGTTTGCAATTTGTGCCGCAAACAGCAGGAGATACTGACGAAGTCCGGAGCCTGGTTTATTGCTAGTGGAACGCCCCAGCCCGCTAGCCAGGATGGGGCTCTGAGCGATACCGCGACGGGGGGGAGATCAGACGCTCCCAGAGAGAAGAAGGCCCGGCTACAGGAACGTTCTCGTTCCCAGACTCCGCTCAGCACAGCCACGGTCAACCCAGAGGCTACCCCAGCCGACAAGACCCGCGTGTCGGAGCTCGCTCGCCAGGAGATGGGTTTCGATCAGAAACAGAACCCGGCTCGATCCCGGAGTGAACCCCCCAGAGACAGGTATATACCGCAGACACACATGCACACACACACGTGCACACGTACACATACACACACGCACGCACACACACACACGCGCGCACACCACACACATACTCACACTCAGCACAGGTAATTAACAACAGCTTTCAACCCATACCCCCCAAACACACACACACATACAAACACACATATACACACACACACACAGACACCTCTCCTTATCCTGAATCTGCAGCTTGTGTGTGTCACCTGTAAGGAAAGGCTGGATGCTGCACAGTCTCGGTGATTGTATTCAGCCAGTGAGGTTTGTGATGGGAGCCATAATATTCTGACTCCGCATAACGTGTCTGTGATGGTGCACAGGATTATACACAGGATTGACAGCTCAGTGCAGCTCTGTGCGAGCGCTGTATTGGTCAGAGGTTGTCCTTCGAATGAGACGTTCAACCAATTCCCATCTGCCTGTTCAGGTGAACGTTAAAGATCCCCTTTCGCTCAGCTGGTTCCGGCGCGATTCGAAAAGATAAAAGGATTTCTTCCAGTGTCCTGGCCTACAAACCTTCAAATAAAATTGGTCACTCACTCCATGGCTGTTTGTGGGACACTGCTGTGTGCAAATTGGGTGCTGTGTTCACCTGCACACAAAAAAAGGCCTCTCCTCTTTACAGTGAATCTTCCTGGTGTCTTGTCTTAAAATTGACCATTACAAATCTCAACCCGTGTCCTCTTGGTTTCCCCCATGACTTGGAGTGTCCTATGGACTGGCGTTTACAAAGTGTGGTGGTTAGAATGAGATGTGAGGCTGCCTGTATCTCCAGCGCTGAGAATGATGTAAGCAAACATCCTGATATCACGATCCCTCACAGACTGAATATCCCATCGACTCTTATATAACCAGCCACCTCCGATATTATTATATAAAGCCATGATGAGGGTTAGTGCTGAGATTCCTCCTTGGGATTAAAGGCTGCATACCATCTGCTTCCTGGCCAAGCAATTCTGTGGCAGCGTGTGCGAACTGAATTAACCCGCTGTGTGCCAAGGCTTTACTACTACTGCACTACTACTGCTAAACCTTGCATTTGATATAGCATCTATTCACGTCGTTGAGACGTCTGAAAGTGCCTCACAGGATATATTGTAAAGTGGATTGGCTGTGTGGAGTCCTGTAGCTCAGTGGTTAGAGCACTCGCTTTGCAAGCGAGAGACCTGAGTTCAATTCCAGGCAGAGGGCGAAACCTTGGGCAAGTTTCCTTACTCCACACAGAGCCTAATAATAATCCCTCCAAAACAAAAACAATAATAAATTGGTCATTTTCAATCTACGACTGTTTGTGGGACATTGCTGTGCGCAATTGGCTGCCGCGTTCGCCCACAAATATACAGTCAATTCACTTTACAGTGTGTTCTGTGAAGCGCTTTGGGACGTCCTCCCGACGTGAAAAGCGCTATATCAAATGCAAGGATTATTATTATTATTATTTTGTGGGTGAATCACGGCAGCCAATTGCGCACAGCAGCGTCCCACAAACAGTGACCACAATTTTTTTGTTGTTTTTTGGAGGAATTATTACACCTGAAAAGCGATCCATCAATCGACTGACAACCGGGTTCCTACTTACTGTTAGATAAACAGAGGCGTGTGGCGTAAGGCAACTTGTCTAAGGTTTCGCCCCACTCGGGAATCAAACCCGGGTCCTCTCGCTTGCGAGGCGAGCGCTCTAACCACTACACTACGAACTCCATACCAATCACTAACTATTTTGTTTTCAAACATCTTAAACATGACATTTCTGTGGAAATTATTGCTTCCAATTTAAGGGGAAGCCTGGCTCAGTCAGCAGCACTCTTGCCTTTAATTGAGAAGATTGTGGGCTTAAACCCTACATCAGGACTTTGAACTCATGTAACTCCAGAATGACTCTAAGGGGGAGCACTGAATGGTCAGTGGTGCCATCTTTCAGATGAGACTTTAGACTGTGAGACCCATCTGTGCGGGTTCAGGTGGACATTAACGATCTCAAGAAGGGAAAAGAGAAGGGAATTTCTCCCGGTAGTGTCCTGGCCAATAACACCCTCCCCCTCCCCAGGTAAAATTGGCCATTCACTTTGTTACTGGAGGTTAACCATCTAAAACCGCACAACTTGCCATTGGGAGCACTGTCTGGTAAGCTTTTCACTACTTTTTGAGCTTGGACCACCCCAGCAGTTAGGGCTTTAATTTCTAGGGTTAAAAATTTATTTAATTCGATGGTGAAAGTGCCGGGAATCTTTTCCCCACACCCCTTCGTACCCCTCGCTTCAGTATCCGTCACCCTTTAAACATCACGATTGACTCTGCCTCTACGGCTCTCCTCCGTTTCATGTTCTCTCAACGCTCGTGCCGGGCACGGGAGACCTTGATGTGCATCCGCATCTGCTGCTACTCGGGCTGGGGTTTGACGGGGTAATGGACCAGGTTGGCATTGCTCTTGTAGCGGTTCTGATACTCCTCAGCCTTCCTCTGCCTCTCCTCCCCCTCCTCCCCCTCCCCCTCTTCCCTTCCCTCCAGTTTGGCTTCAATCCCAGACACCCTAAAGCACTCCAAGATGTTATTCAACATGACTGGCATTCTAGTAAATAGTGATTGTGTTTTGTGGGTTTGAGCCCACAAATAGCCACGAGGTGAATCACCAATTTTATTTGGGATCGATTTAAACCTGGATGTCCTGAAAATCGACCGATTTAATATTAATAACTGGGTTCAAAAGTGTAGTCACTGTATCGTAGGTAAGGACACCGGCAAAAACTCTCTTCTTTTAATGGGTAATGCTGTTTGTGTCCACCTAATCAGGCAGGCAGGGGTCTTGGTTTAATGTCTCATGCAAATAATACTAATGATAATAATCCTTGCATTTGATGTAGCCTCTTATCGAGACGTCTCAAAGCGCTTCATGGAATATACTGTAAAGTGTTTTTTTGTGGATGAACTGTGACAGACAATTGCGCACAGCAGCGTCCCACAAACAACCACAGAGGGAGCGACCAATTTTATTTGGGGGATTGTTCAGGTGAACATAGTTGACCAGTGATACCGGGAGAGAGAAACTTCTTTCTCTTTGCCACGGGATCTTTAACGTCCACTTAAACAGGCAGTCGGGACCTCGGTTTAACATCTCACCCAAAGGACGGGTGAGACGATAAAGGTTGTTATTATTGTTATTATCAACATTATTTTTGTTATTATGCCTTTAATACCGTCATCTTGGGATGTGCCTTCAATGTCGTTCCCTCTTTGCAGGAAAAAGAGCACGGCGGTTTCGGAGCAGAATGGCAAGGCTCCGGCAGTGAAGGGTGAGCGCAGGAGGTCCGCCAAGCCCCAGTCACCACACGAGGAGCGATCGCCGGGCGAGCGGGAGCACAGGGAGCGCCGGGAGAGCCGGCGTCTCGAGAAGGGACGTTCCCAGGATTCCCAGGACCCGGGCGGGCGGCCGGTGGAGGGGACGGCAGAGCCGGGGGAGGAGGACGAGGAGAGGCAGAGGAAGGCCGAGGAGTACCAGAACCGCTACAAGAGCGACCCCAACCTGGCCCGCTACCCCGTCAAGCCCCAGCCCGAAGAGCAGCAGATGCGGATGCATGTCAAGGTCTCCCGCGCCCGGCACGAGCGCAGGCACAGCGACGCCTCGCTGCCAAGCACTGAGGTGCCCGATGAGGGACAGGGGCCGGACAACCGGCGGTGGACTCATCCCCCCGAGGCAACCTTGGAGGGGCAGGGCACGGCACCCAGCAGCCCACGCCACCCTCACCCCCACCCCGCCAACCACAGCCCCCCCACCCCTAGGCGCAGCCCGGTGCCCTCCGAGCACTCGGAGACCAGGGGGCAAAATGATGCTCACTGGAGGCAGTGCCACCTGGACCCCAGCTCGGCCGCCGTGCAGCGCGCCAAGCGGGAGAAGAGCGAGACCATGCTCCGCAACGACTCTCTCAGCTCCGACCAGTCGGAGTCAGTGCGGCCCCCGCCCCCCAAGCCGCACAAGACGAAGCGGGCACTGGGCAAGAAGCGGCAGATGTCCGTCAGCAGCTCGGAGGACGAGGGGGCTTCCACCCCGGAGTACACCAGCTGTGAGGACGTGGAGATCGAGAGCGAGAGCGTCAGCGAGAAAGGTGAGCAAAAGATACCTCCCCCTGTCCCCTCTGCACTGCCCCTCTTCTCCCCTTTCCTCTTCCCCCTTTGCCCTTCCCCTCATCTCCCTTCTCCCCTCCATCCTCCCACCTTCTCCCTTTCCTCGTCTCCCTGCTTCCTCCACAAAACTTTCTTCGACCAGGCCTACCCCCACCCTGACCTGCTCTCCACCCCCCTTCTGATCCCAACCCCTAGCTCGGGCCCAAATCCCTCACTCTCCAGCACCTTGGGAATTCCTTCCGGTGTGACAGACGCTATATAAATGTCGTTGTTATTGTTGTGATCCCCCTCTCCCCACTTCCCCCTCTCCCTCTACTCCCTCCTCCACCCTCTCCGCTGTTCCCCCTCTCACCCCTTCCCCCCCCTCCTGCTACTCTCTTTTCTCCCTCTCTTCTCCCTCTCTCCCTTCCCACGCTTTCACCTTCTCCTATTCCCCCTTCCCCCTCTCCCCCCTTCTCACCCTCTTCCCTACCCCTTTATCCCCTCCCTTTGCCCCAACCATAGGACCTACAGCCATTCAGCCCACCATGTGTGTGGCATCTGGTCAAGTGCTCACTACCCATGTGAAGGGTAATGTATAAACACACGGTGTTGTTGCTGTTAGCCATGGTTAGTGCTCTCGCCCTCTGGGTCAGGAGGTTATGGGTTGGAGCCCATTCTCATGCTCTCATGCACGGGGTGGGGGAGTGAGGAAGGGAGCTCTCCTCTTGCTCTCCTCTGTTCTGTTGGGCATTAATGATCTGACTCGCGAAGCTGTTTGAAAAGCAAAGAGATGGAATTCTCAATGACGAACCTGGGCGCCCAAATTGGAGAGCATTTCATTTCCCAGCCCTGCCGTTCCTCGTCTTGACTGACACAAATTAGTCACAGTGTGAGTTTTCACAGAATGTTTACAGCGTAGAAGGAAGCCACTCGATCCATTGTGTCTATGTTAGTGACACCTTTCATCCACTGGACCTCTCTATTCTAATCCCATTTCCCTGCTCTTTCCCCCATTGTGTCTGTGCTAATGCTCGCTCCCCCACTGGAGCCCTCTACTTCCCATTCCCCCATTCCCCTGCTTTTTCCCACATCGTATCAGAATGGATCGATTTCAAACTCTTCACACCTACAAATCACTACACCCCGGCACCTCCCTACCTCTGTAATCTGCTCACACTTCCCCATTTGCTCGGCCCGGCTTGGACCTCCTGCTTGTCCCTCAATCCCTCCGCTCCACCATCGGCAGCCGTGCTTTCAGCCACTACGCCCAGAATATCTGGAACTCCCTGCCTCAATCCCTCCACCTTGCCTCATCCTTGCCTGTCTTCAGATCACAAATAAAGACCTTCCTCTTTGGCTGTGCTAATGATCACTTCCCCACCTCTCCCCTGTCACGCCATTGTTCTGCCTTCCGAGAAGCTGCTTTGCGCGAGGAGCGCTGTGTAAATGCAAGATGCTGTTGTTGTTATGGGCTAAGATTAGGTGGAATTTCAGGCTTCTGGGGCTTCCCTGTGTGGCTCACTAGCACAAATTGTACATTCACCAGATAGCCAGAGGAGGAGTTATTTTCTAAACTCAACAACTAATTGCATTTACACAGCGCTTTTCATGTCAGGAGGACGTCCTGAGGTGCTGGACAGTTAAGGGTTTGTATCCGAGCTGGGGGTTGGAATCAAGAGGGGTGGAGGGTAGGGGGTTAGGGGTTGGAGGGTGGCAGAAGACATGGTACTTAGAGAAAATGCAATGTGTGATGGGCTAACTAGCACAAGCAAGTAGTGCTTATGTTAGTTATCCCAACACAAGTCACTATTTCACTCATGACTACCGTGTAGGTGGGTTTATTCAGCAAATAGGGAGAATTAACAACTTGGGGGTTATTTTTGGTCAGTGAATTGTCTCACACGCGCGGCAACCCATCACTGCGCTTAAGAGTATCCTTACCGAAGCTACGAGTTCCACATACGTATGTCATGGAAAGGCATGGAAATTTTCCTGTGTCCGGAAAGAAATGCGGATTCTTTCGCTCTTCGGAAGAACGCAATCCTGCTCACTGGAAGCAATAGCGACAGGTTGGCGAGAGCCAAGGCTTGGAGTTTAACCAGCTAAAACCGCAGAGCTTACCATTGCAGGACTTGTGTGACAAGATGCAGGGATGAACAGTGCTTTGAGACGCCGTCCAGTATGAAGGGCGCTATATAAATGCAAATATAAATGTTGTAACACAGGGAGTACATTCGCCCACAAAATACAAAGTCAATTCACTTTACAGTATATTCTGTGAAGCGCTTTGAGACGTCTAGAAGACGTGATAAGGCGCAATATCAAATGCAAGGATTATTATTATTACTGTACAGGATGTCCACAAAGTCCTGTTACCCCCATGTTTGTTTTTCCTACAGTGCACTGACCAACAACTGAAACATGTGGCAGAATGATAATTGTATTTAGAAATACTCAATTGCATTCAGTACAAGTGTTTAACTACTTATCTAGACATCCAGAGGATTGGTGTGAGTGAGCTCCATCATTTTCACGGCAGACACTTTATAATATATCCTTTGAAGTGCATTGAGACGTAACAACAACAACAACAAGATTGCATTTATAGAGCGCCTTTCACGTCGGGAGGACGTCCCAAGGGGCTGTACAGTTGGGTCGGGACCCGAGCAAGGGGGAAATGGTCAGGGTGAGGGGAGGGAAGGGAGGGAGCGAGGAGGGGGTAGAGAGTCGAGAGGGGAGCTGAAGGCACGGTCAAAGAGAAAGGTCTTGAGACCGGCCTTGAAGGAGGAAAGGGAGGAGGCGGCGAAGGCACTGGGGGATAGAGTTCCAGAGCCTCGGGGCTGAGAGGCTGAAGGCCCGACCACCGATGGTAGGGCGGTTGGGGCGGGGGATGTGGAGTAGACCGGAGCCAGAGGAATGGAGGGTACGGGCAGGTAGGTAGGGGGATAGTAGGTCAGAGAAGTAGGAGGGAGCGAGGCCGTGAATGGCCTTATAGGCGAGAATGAGGATCTTGATATCGACAACAACGTGATAAGGCGCTATATCAAATTTGTACCATATTGTACCATATTATTATAATTAGAAAGGGTTAGCGAGCGAGTGGCTGAAATACCCTGCTTCTTGAACGAAGCTGGAGTCAATTAAGTTAGATGTCTTTCCATTTCCGTCAATAAATCTGTTGAGGTTGAGCTGTTGGCTCCTCTTTGAGGACTAGCGAAGCAGTTGAATGTTACTCACCCTCATCATTTCCCATAGCTCAAAAGTCAGCATCCCATCCTCTGCCTTCTGGACTAATTAGAGACATTTTTCTTCCAAGTGATTGCAATATCTCTTCCTTAGAGCCACTGGTTCTCGATGTGTTTTGGGTGGAAATGGAAACCACAAGGTTTTATTTTTAGACTGAAAAGAAACAGATTTGTTTCAAAATTCTGTTGCTCCTTCCACTTGACACAACACCTTTTGACGTCCAAACATCTCAAAGCACTCCACCAGTAATTGTTGTCAAGCGACTGTGTATTCTGTAGGTAGCCAGTTTGCACCCAACAACAACTTGTGTTTATATAGTGCCTTTCACCAACCAACCTGCCCTCTCCCTCCACTCAGCAGCCCCCGCCTGCTTCACATCCCCGCCTCGTCCATTGGAGGGCGGGTCTTCAGCCAATCTGCCCCACCCCCTGGAACTCCATCCCGCAATCCCTCCTCCTCGCCCCCTCCCTTACCTCCTTCAAGACCCATCTCAAGACCCTCCTTTTCGATCGTGCCTTTGGTCTCCGTGTTGTTCACGCGGGGCAGGATCACGGAGCACTTGGCCGGGCGGAATCTGACACCGAGCTAGGGGAGAGGGAATGAGGAGGTGACCCAGAAGCACGATCACGGAAGGCACGATTCGAAAGTGTGGAGGGGGCAAAGGTGGAGGGATTGAGGGAAAGAGTTCCAGAGTTTTGGCGTGTAGTGGATCAAGCTATGGCCACCGATGGTGGAGCAGAGGGAACGAGGGACAAAAAGGGGGCTGGAGCCAGCCCAGCGGAGACAGCAAGTTGTGAAGGGGGTGTAAGCAAATTGGATAGGTCTTTGAGATGTCTCAAAGCCCTTCACAGAATATACTGTAAAATAAACTGACTGTATATTTTGTGGGTGAAACACGGCAGCCAATCGCACACAGCAGTGTCACACAAACAGTCGTGGATTGAGTGACGTGACCAAATTATTATTTTTCAGAGGGAGTATTACCCCTGGAAAAGTAATCCACCAATCGACTAACAACCAGGTTCCTACTTACTGTTAGGTAAACCGAGGAGTGTGGAGTAAGGAAGCTTGCCCAATGTTTCACCCTGCCAGGGAACCGAACCCAGGTCCTCTTGCTTGCGAGGCGAGTGCTCTAACTATTGAGCCACAGGATCTACGACTTCATGGCTGTTTCCGGGACAACAACAACAATGCAGTGTGCAAATTGGCTGGTGGGTTTGCCCTCAAAACACAGTCTCTTCCATATTGCATAAAAATTCCTGTGAACCATTTTGGTGATACGATAAGTGCAAGGAGTATTATAATTATGTAGTGTGTGCATAGCTGATAGTGTTCAGATCATTCCCAGTCTCACATGCTTGGTTTTCTGACAGGCCAATGGCGTGTGAGGTATTATCTCTCTGACGTTTAATCTGCTGATTTTTTCCTTCCTGTGAAATATTGAGCAGCCTCCTATGCCTGGGCAGGTTTTTTTTTTAACGTTTCTTCCATCACACGGCTCTGCAGAAGGATAATTTATCTAAACTGCATTGCGAGCTGTTGCAGAGGCGAGTCGATGTGGCACGGACACTGAGTCGGAGGAAATTATAAAAATAATAATAATCCCTGCATTTGATATAGTGCCTTGTCATGACGTTGAGATGTCTCAAAGTGCTTCACTGAATATCCTTTGTGGGCGACATGCGGCAGCCGGCAGTGTCCCACAAACAGTCGTGGATTGAGTGACCACATTTTTTTTAAGGGATTACTACCC